ATTAAAAACTGGATCATTGGATAATGCAATTCAAGACTTTTTATTGGCTTAGTTATTATGGTATATGAGCCATTATTAAAAACTGGATCATTGGATAATGCAATTCAAGACTTTTTATTGGCTTAGCCACTATGGTATATGAGCCATCATACCATAATCTACAAATATGGTAAGCGTACGCGTCAGCTTAAAATCAAAAGGGAGCTAAAAAATACGGTTTCTTCTAACAAAATAACAATTTCTTGGGGGCGTTTTTAATAAAACAATTATTCCATTCGCGCTTGTTGGATATGAGATGATTATAGCCAACTTGGCGCTATGCGCCTCGTTGGCTATCTATCATCTCATATCCAATGCGCGCTCGTAGAATAATTGTTAATCATTATTTAAGGTCTTCCTTTAGTCGACCTTATGCACCGTTAACCATCTTCGTTACCCCATTTCCTGACATGTTAGTTTCGACATTACAAAGTACGAATTTTGAAAAGGCAAGTTTCATTTGGGAGTTGAACGCTATTCAGGGTTACTTTTAGATTTGTTTCACTTCGCACTCTGATTGGCTGAGAAAACTAGCGCCACTTCCGCGACTAATCAGACTCAAAACTTAAACCAATCGCAACTCAGGCAGCCGCGCCTGACAAAGGAGTGAATTATATATCCCTACAATCTCAATAAGCTATTCAAAATCAGACAGCTGACGAGAATAAAGAAAAATATCAACATGGTAATATTATTTTATTTAAAACCAAATTGCCAGAACTAACATAAACTGCGATGTATGGCAGAAAGAAGAGAGAATTACTATAATTGAAAACTTGTATTGAAAAGGTTATCGTTTTGATTCGACGATTAACACACTGTTTTCCCCCTCCACCTCCCCTCCAATAAAAAACAGCGTCTCACAACAAACTCGGCTGACTGTAAGGCACGTTCCGAAATTAGATTATTCGCACTTAAAACTAAGTAGTCTTCTTTTGTGCTTTTGTCGATTTTGTTTTTTCAGGCATACTCGGTGATATCCTAGTGGATGGCAAAAAGCAAACGGGCTGGAAAACTTACCCAATGGACTTCAAGGAAGGCTTTTTCGACAAGTAAACGTTTAGATGATCACTGATTTTAACGATTGAAAGATACGCAGAATTTTAATGATTGTTGTTCTTACAATGATTTGGAACTAGCGTTTTTATGTTTTTATGTTTTTACGGGGAAACGTGCCAAGTAAAAATTGGGAATGGCCGCTTAAGAATCGCATTTTGTCAACACTTGATGGCCATTCATTTCAAGCGGTTATCAAGTTTGTTCCAGTTGGCTTTTTGGTAAAAAAAAAATATATTAATAATAACTATATGCTAACGTATCGAGGGGTATGTATCTCACACGAATCAGATTGCTGCATCAGGGTATGTTTTTTTTTTTGTTTTTTGTTTTTTTTTGTGTAGATTAATCACACGGTCAGAATGGAGGAAAATAAAAGAAGGAGAATTGCCAACCATTCCTTCTCTATACCGTGGTACGTTTGGGGTAACGGATGAGCCCAAGGACACCTTCTTGTACATGAAAAGTTGGACCAAAGGCGTGTGTTTTGTTAATGGCTACAATCTGGGAAGGTACTGGAATATTGGGCCACAGGAGACGTTATATATACCAGCTCCATGGCTACGCAAAGGGGAAAACGAGGTAGACGAAGAGAATGAGGAATATGGTAAATTTTGGGCTCGGTTATGAAAGTAGAGGAAGCTGTTTTTGGTCATGGTACGAGCCTGGGAAAAAGAGAAAAGGAAAACATCTGTGATCCATGAAGAATCGAACCTCAGACGTTCGAATCCCTCATGGGGACTCAGATGTTTTGATTTGTCTGTCGCTATGATCTGTTAAGAGGGTGGAACGAGTCTTTGGACCAATCAAGGTGCGCAGTTGTGCAAAACCTAGTCAGCAATTCCAGATTACTTTGGACACAAGCAAAAATTGCATTAATTACTGGCTATGCGATCCATTTGGCGCTGTTCTTCCTCGCAGTTGGTCACTTTACTTCGCAAGCTCATACTAGAGTAGACAAGCAGTGAGCCTCAGGGATTCTCTGACGTTTGATTTAATTAAATTTAGGTCCTCCCACTAGTAGCTTTCCGCCCTCTTGACACTCTTCACAAAAGTAAATGTTCAGATAGTAAGTTCAGTTAAATTGAAGATGGCTTAGAACGCGGGTTTGTTAAACAACGGCCAAACTTTGTTTAAATAACAAACCTTAGTGTACGTACTTGTTCCTTTTCCTTTCAGCTGCTGATTTTTGAACTAGAGAAGTACGAAGTTCCTGACGTAGCATTTGTGACAGAGCCAAAGAACAAAGGAAAACCTCTTTTAGTGCTATAATAAGATCATCCGAAGCATATTAAACTGAAGACAGGGCAACCTCATTCCCAGGTTCCTCAATAAAATACTCTCTCGAGGGAGGAGGGGAAGGAACCCTGGGAACGGGGTTGGAAACAGGGTTGCGGTGGAATGA